TGAAGAAGGAGTCGGTTTAGACTTCGAAACGTTTAGCAGTTGTAAATAAATTTATAAAATAAAATAAAATTCTACGAGAAAAAAAGAAATTAAATTTAAATGTGATTTCCTTATCATATTATCAACAAAATCAATTTTGTACAAACAGAAATTCGAACATATGAAATTAGCTTTGCAGTAAACTGCAAAACTAAATCCACTGCTCTGTATCTATATTCTGTACCACGATTGAAGTTGTGCAGTCGACTATATTTTGACATTGTTGAGAGAATCTATATAGCATACAATTCATCTTAAGGGCCCCACCTTTCAGAAATTATCTCCGACACCGTACATCCGACTTTGATGAAACTTTTCCTAAATGTTAGGCACAATGAGTTATGAATGAATAAAAAAATTTTTCGGTCTTCAAGTCTTACCGTTTAGGAGTTTTCCAGAGATCAAGGTCCAAAAAGCATCCTGGTTTTTCCCAAGGTTTTTTAATATACTTCAAGCTAGAGAGCTAGATTTGTTATATTTTAAACTAGACACCTAACTACATGGGCTGACCGGCGCCGATTTTTCAATTAAGCCTTTGTTCGTTTACTAGAGATTCAACAACCTCAGAATCCACAAATCTCCTTTTGAGTTTTCTAGAGATCCTTGATTTTCTAAACAACTAAGCTCAAATTGAAAATAGTCAATAATCTATCTACTTTTCGTCACATTCTGCAGAAATTTCGTCAGAATATGTCGAAAATAGAACACTTTCTTTAAGAATCTTTTTGAAAATCTTTATCCAATCGGAATAGTTTCAGCTTTGGTGAATGTACTTTTGTTTTTAAAGTGTTTTTTCTTACAATATAGTAGAATATAAGGGATAATATCCTAAAATGTTTAATTACAACAGCCGAATAATAATAATTAATTACCTCCTTTAGAAAAATTCAATTCAAATTGCCGACAAGAATATTCGTTCAACAATTTGTGCGTAGACTTTTTCGATAAAACACTATGATAACTTTTATTCTCTTTTTGAACGTCTTCTAAATTGATTAGTTATTTATGAATCTAATAAAAATTTAATTGATACATAGCAAGACTTGACATCATAAACAATTTTATCTCTCACAGATGGTAAATATGATGTCACAACGAACGGATTTTAGAATAATAGTTTCTGTTTGGTTTTTATGTATAAATAAAACTTCATCTGTTTATCCATTAAAATTAAATACATATTTATTTCATAACTCAACATATTATCAAACATTTATGGAACAAAGTAAAAAACATTTTAATGATCAATTTTGGACTAAATTTATTCAACATCAGACAATAAATAAACAGTAGGTTTATCGGATCTATTTTATGATACACAACTTGTCATTTCTCATTTTAGTATCCATTGCCTTGCAAATGAAATAATTACATTAAATCAACAGTTAAAATCAGTTTCTGATCAATTAAACGTTATTGTCAATACGAAAGAGAGAAAAGTCAATTTAATATTAGATATTGGATATTCCAATGATGATGTAGAATATGATGCTAAAACAAAATATATGACTGTTCGAGCGAGACAAGAATTACCAAATATAACCACTATAGCAACAACAAAGACAGTATCATGTATGAATGGTTCTAATATAATAAAAAGAACGCGAATAAAACGACAACAAAAAAATCAAATACTAGATAAAGTATCATCAAAATCCGTGAATTCTTTTCCATTTTATTTAAAAGATGATGATGTTCAGAAATATTCATCATTGGACAATTTAAAACAAGTTTCTAATAAACATCACATGTTATTATTAGAAAATGATCAAGTTATTAGCGTGTATTTGGATGCATTAAGAGAATTTTATCCAATGTTTGAACATAAAATTGAACATATTGGAATATTTCATCAAATAGATTTAGAAGAAAAATTTTTGTTTCTTAAAATTTTAAATGGATATATTGATACTTATAGGGTAAGAAGCTTGAAAATCTATCAATAGAATCGGCTAACCACATTATATAGCGTTCATTCTAAAAAACACCATGATATATTAATAAATTGTTTTTTGTAGATCAATTCCACTCACCTGAATGTTTTAACCTACTGGAAGTTAACTGAACCGATTGAACAATTCAATCATGGTCAAAGAGAATTAGAATATTATAAACGAATTATTACTAACATTAATAATACTATTGAGAACCAATCAAATGGTGATTCAAATACAGAGTCAAACTTTTTAAAAGCTATTAGAGGTTGATAAAATTATTCAATTTCTAGTACAAAAAGCTAATCTTTGTTCTTTAGATCGACCAAAATTCGAACATCAAGATTTTTTCACACTTATGGAAGATGTTTTAATTCATAAATATCGTACTGATCCAAAAGCTGCCTCGTGTATACTTGAATTTTTTTTCGAAGATATTTTTAGTAAGTGACAGTTATTTTTCCGACTGAAGGTATATTTTTAACGTTTTTTACTTTTATCAGCATGTGACGGTCGTTTATTATATCCTCACGAGTAAGTGGAAATCATTCTTCAAGTATTTTTCTAAATTTTACAATTTTGTTTAGATTAGATCTTATTGCAAAAAATGGCGGAATCATTTTTCATGGAGTGGTCATTAATGTAAATATTAACAGTGAAACTTAAAATCAAATGTTGATTATTTTACATTTCTAGAATGTTAATGAAAAACAAGTTTATCCTTTAGAATTAAATGGTACTGTAATAATTGAAGATAAACTGTTAATACGTTATGGTAGTCAATCATCATCAACGCAACATTCAGATTTCCTAATGAATATTAATGGTGGTGCTGAATGTCAAGAATGTGCTAAAATTGATTTACGATATAGAGTTAAACAAGAAGCGATGTATATGAAGTAGGTGTTTTAAGTCACCCTCTCACAATGGGGCATCCAGGCAGACTTTTGGCCAAAAATCGAAAGTTCGTACTTTCCAGATTTGAAGAGGAGTGAATACACTTTGATCGGTGGCCTATAGAATGGCGAAAGAATTTTTTGTTCGAGATGCTAAGGAGCGTGGGAAAACACTTAGCCAAAAACAGGCCTAAAAACAGTGGGATTCTCGATAAAAAATTTTTACTATAAAATTTAACAAACCTGAATCCGAAACTCAACTAGAATATGAAACTAGAATTGTCTGACTATTGATTACCAAAAGAAGTTTTTGTTTTGGATTTAAACTTCCGAGACAAAAAAAAAAATTTAGTTTTCACGCTAACAACATTTTCATATTGATCATTGTCAACGTGCAGAAAATTCGAGCTTTCAGTAAAAACTTTTTCTTGGTTAATTCATACACGGTTGAATAGAGCACGATGAGCTGAGTAAGAAAATGTGGTTTTTAACTTTTGAAAAATATTATTTACAGTCGAAAAATTTGAAAAACTTGAAGGACCCATTTTTTCGAAAAATCGTCAGTTTTCAAAAAATTCAATTTTTTTCCATTAAAAGCTCCTTTCAACTTTTGAAACTATATTTTTATAATGATATTTTTTTTTATCCTATTCGATTAACCAAAAAAATTTCAGCTATACAGTGTCAGCTCTCCTATCCTTCGGTGGGCCTAAATAATGGGAAAACCCTAGAAACTAGGTCTACCCAGGCCCGTTAGTGGATGATATCACTCAGCGAGGAGATAAGAGGGACCACAGTAAAAAATACCTAATGAAAAGCGATCGAGTGTGAAAAAA